AGAGGGGACCATGCTGGTCGATTGGATTTGGAATCTATGGGAAATGGGAACACTAACTGAAGCATCTGATTCAAAGTTGACGGGAAAATACAATGTAGTAGAAATGGAGAGAATGCTAATGGTGGGACTGAATTGTGTACACCCAAATTATGTAAAGCGGCCAACTGTGAGAGAAGCTGCAAAGATCCTTAGAGGGAAAGCACCACTTCCTGTACTGCCACCAAGGAAGCCAAGGGTCCGCATCAAGTCTGTTGTTCCTGATGATTTTGAGGATAGCATAGATAGTCCTCCTGACGATAATCCCAGCCTCGACGAGTGGATGACCCCGAAGAGTCAATTTTATAGCTGAACCGTAACGCAATACACGGTGCCACGGAGATTACAAAGACATCAAATATTAGAAATGACCTGAAAATACTCTAAACTAGAGGTTTGCTGCATTGTTTCTTTTCTTAGGGTGTGTTTTTGTTAGGTTTACATGAATAAGAACATAATTGCTGTATGCCCCAAAACTGAATTTATTCATGAAATATTCAAGCACCATATATTTCTTGCGTATCTCGTGTTTGTTTACTTTAAAATTTTGGTTGAGATGCATATAACAGCGTCATGAACACGTCCTAATGACTTAACTCGTCGTCGAATCGAATCGATATTAAATTTCGAATCAAGTTGTTCTTGGGAAGTCATGGGTGTGTTCCAAGTCAACCATTATTAGTGCAATTTGCAGACACCTTTGTTCCTTCACCATTTTTTTGGGCTTTGAAGATATTAACCACTCCCACCTGAAAGAAAGCTTGCAAGAAATGGGTGGGCCAACTCTCATTCTATCATTATACTTAACTTTATAGACTTTGCATCATAATTAAATATTACAAATGTCACTGTCTTTTCCTACCCCAATAATCTTCTCCTTTTCATATCGAAATGTCTATAGATTTCTAGAATAAAATTTATAAGGGTCGGTGATAAGGAAACACTTTAAAATACGCTCTGATACTATAAGAGAAGTGAGATTCGAATAATCATGTTGATCGAATATCTCAAGATAAGAAAACTTATTTGACATTTGAATCACTCCACAGCAAGATCAATTGTGTCAAGCATAGCATGGATGATTTTAAATATAAGAACACCTAGTCCTAATGAAAAGAAATCACTCTCGTTAGCCTTGATGATAAGAAATCACTCCCAGAGAAAAAAAAAAACCTAGGTTATATTTTTAATCAAATATCTCAAGAAAGAACGCTTATTATTGGATGAAAGTCCCACATCGACTAATTTAAGGAATGATCATGGGTTTATATCAAAAGAATACTCTCTCCATTGGTGCGAGGCCTTTTGGGTAAGTCTAAAGCAAAGCCATGAGAGCTTATGCTCAAAGTGGACCATTGTGGAGAGTCGTGTTCGTCTAACACTTACAACATTTTGAACTATGTTCATATTGGTGGTACGAATCTAGTTGATTATAAATTAAGATAATGTATGTGTATTTTTTTAATTTAATTTTGGAGGGTTGTTCCATATATATACATGTGTATATGCTTAGGTCATACATATGTCATCTCAATACCATAGAAAATTATTAATTTATTTGTATAGTTGATGTTTAGATATATTTTAAAAATATTGGGGGATAAATTAAAATGTTTTTAATGGCATAAACAAAGATGCCATTCTTTTGACTTTCTTTAATTATTTAGCCCTCTTTTTCCTACAATTTTTTTTATATAAAAATAATCTTTTTAGGAAATTCATTTTTTTTAAACTAGCCATGTTGTTTATTTAATAAGAATAAAACTATAATATAAAAACCAAGAATAAAAATAATAAAAATATCAAAATAGTAATCAATATAAATTAATTCTATTCATATTTAATAATAACTATATTCAAATTAATGGGTAATTTAAAATTTTTGAAATTAAATAAATATGAAATTTAACCGAGATAAAATTGTTACAATAGAGAGAGTATTCTTCATTTATAAACCCATGAGCATTTCCTAAATTAGAGAATGTGGTTCTTTTTTATCGAACAAAGTGCGCCTCCCCTTAATTGAGGCTCGATTCTTTTGGAGTCTTAGTCATGTTTTACTGCCTTCAATGAGCCTTGTCTCCTTTTCTTTTGGAGTCTTTTGTTCGATATTTGAGGATTTACCAATCTGTTGGCACGACTAAGTTTAGGGCATGACTCTAATACCATGTTAGACGAACACGACTTTCCACAATGGTATGATATTGTCCACTTTGAGCATAACTTGACTTCTTCAAAAGACCTCGTACCAATGGAAAGAGTATTCTTCGTTAAAGTGATGATAGTAAATAAATCAAATAAAGAGTAAAAAGGTAAAAAGAGTAAATCTTGATCTCAACCATTTGTAGATATATTAAACGAATACAAGAAATTTCACAGCAGTAAAAAGTAATAATAATAATAAGAAGAAATCGAGGAGGGATGGAATTAATTGGGGTCGGGAAATTTGGGCCGGTAGTAAAGCGGGGGCAGAGGGTTCTTGAAAACCGGCGGAAGTGGATAAACCAAACCGGAGTAATCAAAACCGGAATACGTTGTTAATGGAGGAATTCCGGAAGAGGGCCGTGGATTTACGATTACAAGAGGGTCTTCCCAGCCCTCGTAATCATAAACGCTCAGTTCTTCCGACGACGGCGATAAACCATTCCGGCCATCGGAAAAAGTGGAAGAAGAAGTAGAAGTGGAAGTGGAAGTAGAAGGGCGGTCGGAATCGGAGTCGGAGCGGCTGCTACTGCTGCCAGGGAATCGAACCATGTGCCTGAACTCTGAGGCGTCTTCTTCTACTTCAATGATTTTCTTCGACTTCCTTATTTTCGCCGGCGCTTGGGCTTTCGCGGCTCTCGGCGGCGCCGGCGGCTTCTTCATCTTTCGCTTTCTGGTGGCTGAAGATTCCATTCTCTCGTTTCTTTCACAATTTGGCGGATTTCTTGCATATATATATATATATACATATATAAATTTAAATTTTTTTGGAAAAATGAAAATATATTTTGATTTGATTGTGAATTACAAAATATTATATTGACATTTTAAATGGTTGTTAGATTTTAAAATTTTATATTTGAATTAATATTTTTACTTTTCAAGTTTCATTAATTTTCACTTTTTCGTCATTAATTAAAAATAATTTAAAAAATGTTAAATGGTAGAATTAATAGACACAAAATAAATTTAAAATTGATGATAAAGTTTGGAAATTAAACTCAAAATTTAGAAATAAAAATTTAACATTAAGAGACAAAAAAAATATTTTTTTTCTTATATTCTTATTCTATTATTAGATTATAAATTCAAATTAGATAACAAATTTATGATTTTTTTTTTAATTTTAATTGTTTAAGATAATTATTACTTCGAAAAAAATAAAATAATATTTAAAATTTAAAACTTATTTGCCGAATTATTTGTAGTAATTTATGTTAATATTGAAAATTTTATTTTAAATTAATTTGTTCTCACTGATTATAAAAACTTAATTAAAATTATGATAAAATTTGAGAAAATATTCGATAAAATAGATGTTAGGTTATTTTTTCACGATGGTTTTGTTTCGATTAGATATATTTATAAGATAAAAGATATGGAACTACTCCCACTTAAAATCATACAAAAATGGGGAAAAGTCTCTCATTGTATCATTATGCTTAAACTTTATAGATTTTTTTCCGACATAAATAAGGATAAAATTAAATACAATTAATTATGCAAACAAAATCAATGCAAATCAGGGAAGTTTTGGAAGAAATCTAGCGACAACGAGAATCGATTCGGAGCTATGGGGCTAAGATCCCGAAAAAAGTGGGTAAGAGGGCTGAGCTCAGCTGACTGCGGTGGAGTCGGAGTGAAAATATTCGCTGGAATCGGCGGCAGCAACCCTGGCGTTGGCGATAATATTCCGTGACCTACCCTCTCTGTTCCTTGATGATTGGTACTCATAATCATCGTCGTATTGGGTGGATGGTGAGAGTCGTGGGAGGAGGGTTTGTGGCCAGTGAGGCGCTGGACCAAGTCCTTGAATTGAGTAGGGTCGGTGTGGATGACCTTGGGGGAGACGGTGTAGATGATGACGGGCCGGTGCGGCGGCTTGCCGATCTTGTGGGAGTCTTTGGTGATCTTGAGGGCGGCGGGACGGGGACCTTGGAGTTGAAGCTCTTTTCTTTCAGCCATGGCATTAGGTGTTGAAGAACAAAGAGAAGAAGACATGGAGAGTTGAAAGGTTTATAAAGATAAGTTGAGTATTTAATATTAATATCAATATTTAAGGGTTTCTTGGTGGTTTAGAAGTTTGAATTTGTCTTAAAAAAAAAAACCATTTTTTTCATGGTTGAAACCGTCAAACCCTAAGTCTATAATGATACCATTATTGTGTCTTTTCCACGTCGGATAATATTATGCTGACTTGGTATAGCTATTATATGGAATGTTCGTATATATCGTCTTTGGAATGGTACGTTAATAAGTTGTTATCTCGAATGGTGTGACGGGTTTGGTGCATTTTTACGTGTGGGTTTAAATATTTATACAAATTAGTCTTTCAAATGGGTTCAACAAAGACTTATTCTCGTTATTTGACATGATCATATGCACCTTATTGGTGGAGATAGTTGACTTTCCGTTCTTTTAAGTCTTTGTTACTCATCTTATTCTCGTGATTGGTCTTATTTGGATGTGATTTTGATTCATTCATATATAAATCTATTAATTTTAGTTTCACACGGTTCAAGTCTTGCCACGAAGCAAGCTCTCCTGAATAGGACGGGTTAGGAAGTGGCACGGACTCAGCACGGACCCTTTTATTATTGATGCACGAACCCTGAATTATTCTTTGTTTTCTCAATGTCTTAATGGGTCGAGGGGCTAATTTTTCACTTTGGGCCAATCTTCTTAAGTGGGCTTTGGGCCTATCATGTTTAGTTTAAACTCGTACAAATACTTTTGACTCTATTGAGTCTTATTTATTTTTATATATTTTTTTTAGTACGACAACCATATCAACTATTGTTGAGTTATACAAATGTCGACGAGTTTCATCGTACGACACAGAGAAAAGTTGAAGAGATTGTAAATTTAGTTATAGCCTCCCCTTCCTGTTGGCTTGTAGCCATTGTAGCCACTTCTACCATTAGGTTCATGGCTGTTATATCCACTTCTACCATTGAGTTCATTGCTGTTGTATCCGCTTCTACCATTAGGTTCATGGCTGTTATATCCACTTCTACCATTGAGTTCATTGCTGTTGTATCCGCTTCTACCATTCGGTTCATGACTATTATATCCACTTCTACCATTAGGTTCATTGCTGTTATATCCACTTCTACCATTGGGTTCGTTGCTGTTATATCTGCTTCTACCATTGGGTTCGTTGCTGTTATTTCCACTTCTACCATTGGGTTTGTTGCTGTTATATCCACTTCTACCAATGGCTTCATATTTATCTTCAAGAACTTTTCGTCCGAATCAAACAAAAATTACTTCAACTACAAATCTACAAATTCAATCCATTAATTTATATTTATTAATAAAATATAAAATTTAAAATTTAAAAATTTATTAAATATAAACATCAATAAACTAAATCTATAATTTAACAATAATAATAATAATAATAAGAAACAGTTGTATGACATGACTTTATTCATAGAAATAAGTGATCAGACCATCAACTTTTAAAATGGTAAGTTACGTTCCGATTAGCTAACATACCAAGACCCAGTTAAATATTAAAAATTTTAGTGAGTAAATAAGGGTTACCAAGTGCAAATTCTTGTGGTACGATCGACTCGTAGGACAGAGCAGCGACGACGTTGCCGGCGGATATGAGGAGGAAGACGGCGAGGAAAGCAGCCATGGGCATGACTCCGGCAGCCTTAGAGCTAGCCATTTTCAGACAAAAAGGGGGTTTAATTTCTGGGGCTAAAAAGTGTTGGGTTAAAACAAGGGTAAGATTTTATACAAATTTTGGTGGGTATTTATAGTGGAAGAAGGGTTATAAGTAAGGGTATATTAGGTAATTGCCAAGGTGAAAACTTGAAATCAACCACAACGCCGGTCCACATTGCTCGTTGAAGAGGCACCCAAATTCAACCCTAAGGGATAAGTTTACGTAAATTTCTACCTTATGATATCGACTTTAGTGTATGATTACACGAACCGAGGATTAAAATATCGACGTTTTCTTCTCATTTTACCTAACCTATTTTCTAAATTTATTTAAATTAAAATTGTAGGAAGTATTTGAATAATAAACTTTGATAGAATCTCATTCTTTTCAGATATTGTCGTCTCTCGACTATATTATTCTCAAACATTTTAAACAAAATATTCAATAAAACAACTTTTAAAATGAAAAATAGATTCAACCTTATGATTTAATTAAATGCACATTGAACACGAGTAATATATGGGGACGGAGAATTGCATAAAGTGTATGGGTTAGTTGTGGTTTGTAATAATAATAAGTAACCAATGACGACACCATTTCAACCGTAGAAGCTATATATATATATATATATATATATATATATATATATATTAATTCAATATTTATTTTATAAATTCACATTTATATTCCATGAAAATGATGCAAAACCCACCACGTGATTTCTCATCCTTTCATCCATTACTCCATTCCTACGGATCTCTCCAACCCATTCATACCCGTATCTTATTTATTTATTTAATACCTATATTTTAAAAATACCTTTTTAAATTTTTTTATTAAAAATACTCATAAATAGTACTAATAATCTTTTTTATTTAATTTTTTTAAAATCAATATATGAATAAATATTATCTTTCTATACCTCTCACAGATAATCTCTTTCAATTTTAAGGATACTCGTGATAAAAATAAAAAATTAATTTTTTTAAAAATTTAATATTATTTTTTAAATTTCGTAGGTATTTTTTAAAAAATGTGTTACTAATGATTTTGTTCATATCGAACGGTTTTGAGTTTATATATATATATACATTAGTTAAATGTGTGTTTTTGAAACTTTTTTAAAAAGTTGGTATAAATAGAACTTCTATCTTTTTTTTTTTAATTTAAAATATTATTGAAGGTTTTGAAAATTAAAAATTATTTTAAAAATAAAGTGCAAAGTGAACGGAATTAAAAATATAAGTCCCTATGGCACACCCATCCACCACGTGTCACCTCCTCAACAATTATGAAGGGAGATTCCATTAGTATATTTCATTTACTTTAATTTTTACATAATCGAGGATTAATCTATAATAAATTTAGAAGTCAACCATAATAACAGCCTAATTAAACGAGAGGGGGAGAGAAACCGCAATCTAGGATTATTAAACAACGTAATTAAGGAAATAATAAAATAATATTAATTTAATTTAATTAAGGAAGTTAGTACGAACGAAGATACGCCACGTAATCCGTTTAATCACGTGCATTGCAACATCCTTATTACGCTTGCATCTAATTTATTTAATTAAATAATATATATTCATCATCTTTCTCCTTAAATCCACCACTGCAAGCACGCTGTACCACTCCCTTTCCCGCCGACCATCTTCTTCTCCCAATTACCATTCTACCCTTCTATTAAATTTACATTTAAAAAACAAAATTGATTTCCCAGTTATTATAAATTCAACTCAACATAATTGTATTGCAAATAATTGTCCAATCAAAATTCAATTTAAAAGTTTTTATAATAATACAATTTAAAAGTTGAGATTTGGTGGGCTGGGGATATAACAGTCATTTTCCACACAGATTCTCAACGACTACCAAGTGAGGTTTGACTAATCCACGTCTATCACTTTCAATAATGTAATGCACCCAATGAAAAGAAGCCACGTGGACTTTGACCCCCACGACCCTTCCGCCTGTTATACAGCTCCAATCTCATGAACTCTCTCTTGATCTTCCTACGTCAAAAATTGTTATAAATTAAATTATTTAATATTCCTTAATAATTATTAAATGTACTTTTATAAATAAATAATTAATTAATTAATGTTTTATTTTTTTGCATACACACGCTCACACCCTTCCTTGGCCCTAACGACTCTCCAACCGCCCACGTTTCTCTTCACTCTACATAATTCCCTTCCTCTCCTCCATCTTCACATCTCTCCGCTCTCTCTCTCTCTCGCTCTCTCTCTCTCTCAATGTTCTCTACAGCAATGTCCGACCACCACCAGCTCCCTCCTCCACCTCCGCCGCCGTTCGCCTCCCATCTGGAGCGGAAATGGAAGCCCCATCTCGAAACAGCTCCAAATTGCCCTCGTTGCGCCTCCGCCAATACCAAATTCTGTTATTACAACAACTACAGCCTCTCCCAACCTAGATACTTTTGTAAATCCTGTCGACGCTATTGGACCAAAGGCGGTTCCCTCCGTAACGTCCCTGTCGGCGGTGGCTGTCGTAAGAGTCGTCGTACTAGGTCCTCACGATCCTCAACTGTCTCACGTTCTACCAACCCCGACACTTCTACACAAATCACTGAATCCTCCTCTAATGGACCCGATATCGATCTTGCTGCCGTTTTCGCTAGATATTTGAACACCGCCCCACCGAGTACTGAGGCACACGCGTTGACCAGCTCGCCTGAATCCGTTGACCCTTTAGAGAATTGTGAAATCTTCTTTGAAGGGCTGTCGGATTTGTTAACTGAGGAGGAAAATCAACCCCAAGAACAAAAACAGGGGATTATGGGAAATTACGAAAATACTCCGTTTGGGTTACACGCGGAATTGGGCGTTGAGGAAGAAGTATGGGCGTCGCAACAAATCCAAGAATTGGACTCTTTTTCTTGCAATTATAATGCGAATCAATTCTGTGAAGTGGGAGACAATTGGAGCTCATTCGACTTTGCAGCCGTAAATAATGTCGAATATTTCTAATTATATCATTACATTTATATACTTATATATATAAATATGGGATTGCGTTCTTGTGTTATATTATGAATTATTTAGTTGAATAATGGTTGGCTACTTGAGATTGTCTCTTGGCTCGTGTCGTTAAAATTATAACTTTTCTAGAGTGGTATCTCACTGATGGTTCAGGAGCCTTCTTCGCTCTCCACCTAAGCTGCGCAGGAAAGACCCAAAGCCAATCCCGAATAACAGTGAAGCTTTATAGGGTCTTTCACCGAGCCTCGTTTTGATACAGTGCCTAGATCGTATGCCTTTTGAGCCCATAAACGCAACTACCAAGCTTAACAACACTATTTTCATTTAAAATACATGAACTAAATGGCGAATGGAACCGAGGAGAAGGTAGAGAAAGTCAACAATGTGATGTCAACAAATCACATGGCTTGAAAAAAGGATCATGAATCTGCGGGTTGTGTGAATTAATGGCAAGGGATATTTGGTTACGTTTCCTCTATACTTATTATTTTTGTGGTTCCTATCAAATTCTCACCAATTTCGCGCACCTTGGTTCAATGTCACTGGACCTACATCTTTTAGTCACGCCATGTTTCATCGAGTTTCAGCTATGTCAAGAGATCACTGTTTTGATACAGTCGGTTCCAATTGTGATTTTTTTGGAAGAAGTCTCGAAACTAAACTAATTAATTAGGGGAGATAAATATGAAGGAAAACACAATCCTTTCCGCTGCTCTGTGCACGGTGATTCTCCTTCTGTTTGGAAGAGCTTTAGATCTAATTCCATTCTACATATGCACGTTGCATTAGAGAAACCGATCTTTCACTTTCTTTTTGAGTTTTCAATTCACAGTCGTCTATCTAGCTTCATCAGAGTTCTCTTTTGCATCACTCGTAAGATATAGGCCAGAGCCCATTCGATTTTTATTTCTGTCTTCACCCTCTCGTTCATTATCATTATTGCTACTTACGTTGACGTTGACGTTGACATTGACCTGATAGATGAGCAGCAAATTAGTTGAAAAACTGTTATTATTATTATTATTATTTATTTATTTAATAATTGTGGATTGTGATTGAAATATTGATTTATAAAATAATAATTATATTTTATTAATTGAGAACCAATTAAATATAAGCTAATAAAGAATATTAATTTAAATTTAATATGACACTATGAGGTGTGAATTTGGTCCCGGTTTGAAAAAGGACAGTTTTGGTCGTAAATGACGTGGCAGATTTTTTATTAATTTTATATTGAATTTTGGTCTACGTGTCAAAATTTCAATTTGGGCCTCCATGTTAGCTTTACGGCCCAATTCCTCCAAAAACAGTTAAAAAATGAAGCCCAACAACTATTAAGGCCCAAGCCCAATTGTATGACACGGTCATTTCTAAGCCCAACTTAAAAAACAATGGCTTAGATAAATAAAATATAGTCATAGACTTAAATATTAATTTAAAAAAATTAGTCTTTTTTTAATATTTAAATAAGAGGTAGGAAGAATTATATATATATATATAAAAGAAAGTTTAAAATATTAATTCATGAAGCATGCCTTTTGGGTTTGTTTAAATTAATATTTTCCTAGATCCATATAATTATTGTATTTTTAATGTTCAAGAAATGCTTATAAACCATATGACATATCACTTTCATTTCACAAATCTAACATCAATTTCAAGTTAATATTTATTAACTTAATGCTTCCAAAAACATTATTATAAACTTAATGCTTTTTACCGGCGTACAACAATTAAATTTTAACTTATTGGTCGAAAGTATCGACTTAGCTTTACCATCTTCAAACGCATACTTCTGTCTAGTTCTTAGAACTTAATCTCGAGATGCACAACATAGACAAGATAGAAAAGCTAGAGTTATGCTATCAGAGTTAATCACCGTCAGTGGTCGAAGTAGGGCTGACCCTCTCTCATAAATGACGCGTTTTATAATCGTGAAGATAACAACTACACGTAACAAGCCAAAGCAGACAATATGTACTAAGGTGCAAGGTTGAATTAGTCAAAATTTGGTTACATTAATATAAACCCATTTAATCTTATAAATTAATTAATAATAGTAAACATGGGTCCAGCTAAGAGTGGTTTAGCTAAAACTTGAATTTATTTTTGTAAGCTATTGACATTTAATGAATATATTAATGGTCTAATCATCACCTAATTAAAAAAAATTTAAAACTTGATTAATTAACATAAACCCCTCGATATATTGTAATAAAATACAAAAAATATGGCGATTCACTTCGTCATTAGCTGTATCTGCGTGTATGCTTACGGCATTGCTTAATTTTTTTAATTCAAATTGTAAATACGTTTAACCTTCCTTAATTAAAATACTCCCATATTTCATTTTAAAAATAACATTTATTTACGCCCACAATTATAACATTAACATTTTCAAAATAATAATAATAATTTATTCTTTTTTTTGCAATTTTTTATTTTAGTCCTCCAATTTTTTAATTTACAAAAAGAACGTATTTGAGGTATTTAAAGTCGTATGAATAGAATTAAAAAAATTAAAAAAAAATCAATAAATCTAATAATTTTGTTGGTTTTTTTTTTTTTTTTTTTTTTTAATAAAA